ATGACTTGACCAGACAGTCAAACAAAATCTTCTACATATCCCCTTCCTTCATAATGGACATTATTTTGACATCTAATAATCTTTGCAGTGCTTTGCAACAGACCATAGTTAAACTTCTTCTTAATAAGAGAAGGTGACTGTACTGTTTGGGAAATTATGAGTTCATCTATTAAAGACTCATATTCCTACCAGAAGCTTGAGTTTTTATTAATGATAATGATTTTAAATAAAGATTTTTCAGTTCAGAGATGTATACAGAGAAATTACAAAATATCAGTGTGGTCCTTGCTCCCCAAACTGATGTTTAATGTACCAGCTCAATCAGTAGGTGCAACCATTTTGATGCAGCCCTTCTAGGTGAATTCCATCTTCAATTTTTACATTTTAATCCCTGCCTCTTTAACAGACATTGCAGCAAAGGATGAAATACAGTTGTTTGTTGTGTCAAGAAAATACCAATTAGCCATCAGACAATTCAATAAACTTTGTGTAAATATTGTGAACAGATGATGTCTTATATAAGTTTAGTGCATTAATGCCTAATTTCCTTCCTGCATACCCCCAAAACAGCCAGCTTAAATGTCAATTGCTAGAGCTCTGACTTCTGGGGGGAAGCACTGTTTATTTATTTGGCATTGCAAAGCAAAGTTTCAGCAACAGTGAACAAATGTAATGAAATTTTCTGGGTTCCATTCCCCAATGATTCTTTCACCACTACCCGGCTCTCCTGAGTTGAACTAACATAGCAGGCACTTTAAGTCAACTCTTATAATTGCTTCCAATTTGCCTGTTTTGCTTTTGGCAATTAGCAAACTGAAATGTTATCATGAAAGAGTCCATCTCATTTATAAGGCCAGGTTTTCTCTCCACTAAAATATGCAGGCACTCTGTTCTTTATTACCAGCAGGAGATAAATGGCTGGTTTTCGTTGCTGAAGAATATATAATGGTTAAAAAGTCACTTTTTTCCTCCAGCTCTACATAAATCACAGAACTAGTCAATATTTAATAATGCTTGCCTTGGTCTGGAGTCCCTTGATCACCCCTGTCATGTGTAATAGCTCCCTCTCCGATATCTTTGACATAAAAGCCCAGCTTTACTGCAATACTAACATGTAGAGGGTCATTACGGATCGACATTTACCTTAATCTGTGACTGCCAACCATGAACCGATAAATTCCAGCAGATTCCACTGGGAGAAATCAGTAAACTTCTCAGTGGAAAGAACTGAAGGAAAATTCTGCCGAGAACAGAATACATTTTCTACAAGGGCTGCTCTGCAAATGGGTTTTGACTTTTGAAAGTTCTCTAGCTGCACAGCTTTGCAACATTTAATACCGTTTTGATGGTTTGAGAGACGGGATGACAACTGAGGATGACATGACTTAGAAAGCAAGCAGAAATTTTCTTTGCAAAAACAATGCAAGATTAAACACAAGGGGAATATGGCTTTTGCATTATTCACCCTGCTGCCTTGGCGGAAATGGCTGTGCTGTCACAGGTCCAGCCAAAATGTTGCTCCTTTTTTTCAAATTGATCATCACTCCTTCTCCTCATAATCTTACAAGTGCTTCACAGCAGAATACATCAAAGCCTTCATTGCATAAAAAAGGGACACAACAGCCTTTGTAAGGAGTCAGCAGAGACTGCCTACCACACACTACACTCCTCAATAAATGTGTTTCTCCAAAGAGCACACAAACAATTTCATTTATAAACTACTTGATAGAGGACAGCGATTACAGCATGTATGTTCTTCTTTAGCATTAATACTGGAAACAACAAATCTGTCTCATTATGAGCAGAAAAAAAAAAAGGCAAGTTATGAAGTCATCAGTGATTCAATTCTCTGTTACTGCATTTACAATATTGATTAAATTTGTGTACACTACATAGAAGGATTAAATGTCATCCAAACATTATTTTTCAACCACAATTTCATATTATACGCATAAGAAAACATTTTTATAGTTGCCTAATGTCAATCACGCAATTTAAACTGCACTAAAAATTAATGACAACATTGTAAGGTATAATTCATAAACATTACTTGTGTACAATATTTTATTATTTATTATACCTTAGAGCATGCTTAATAGCTCAAATTGACATACTAAATGCCCATACTCATTTTGTGAACATTCATTTTTATTCACTGCCCAAGTATTTTACATTTATGTAATAATTAGAGGACACAGCACTCTACTCTCAACTGAAAAATATGCATGTTTTGTTATACATTTGAAAAAAAAGTCCATTTACCCTCTTTAGTGCTGTATATCTTCTTTTACACAGGGGCAACATAGCTAAGTCTACTTGCTCTGATTTAGCAATATTTTCACCCAAGACCACATCACTATGTTTAAGTTCAAAAGAAGAAAAAAACCCCAACAACTCACAACAAAAGCCAGTGGAAGCAAAAGAGCAGCCTGCAATACAATAACTTTTAATGGGTAAGTCTTACTTCTCAGGTTTTGAGTCTGTTTATTATATAGAAATAAAGAGCTGGGTTTCTTTTCCTTCCTTGTTCAAATATACCCATGATCAGCCGTATTATGAATAGCTCTCACGAGTGGCTCCCACTTATATAAGCAAACCAACTGAAATTTTGTGAGTATAGCTTCCTTATCTGAGTGAAGGTTGTGAGATAAGACTGTGTGTATATCTAGAGACTAAATGAGTGCAGAGGGCTTATCTTTATTTGCCAATTTATGTGTTTGCACAAATGTAAAGCACCATAAATCAAAGGAGCAGTTCTTAAAGAATAAAATTGATAATCCTAAAATAATCAATGGCACAGCTAAAAATATAAAAAAAAAGTAGAAAAATTTAGTGCTAAAGGAATTTTAAAAAATAAATAAATGGAATATCATTGTTATCATTACACTTATTATAAAGGGAAAAAAATACCTTGATCAGCATAGAAGAGACCTGTAACAAGGACTGTGTAGGTCAGTTTTCCATTAGGTTTATTTGGGGCAAGCCACTTTAATTGAACTTCTCTGGATCCATCAATAGCAGTAAATACATCAACCACTCCCTCAGGGGAAGCTTCCATGGTCCGAGCTTCCACCTGTAAGTTCAACCATATGATCAAAATTTGGTGCCATAATTCACACAGAAGGAAAGAGAGAAGCAAAATTTTAAGAAAAGTTATCTCTTCAGGGAAAAAATAAAAGAGTAACAGTGCAGGCATCCTAATTTGTAAGCATCTTACTTTCCTATCATCTACATTTGTTTGAAGCTGCCCAACAACTAACATACTTTACATTGAGACCCCTGTTAGGGACATGAATTAAATATCAGAAAAGAATGAAAGATTAATTTCTTGAAAACACCATTGCATCTCATGTGGATGAATGATCTCAGCTTACTGTAAGGAGAGGAAGTATCAATAGAGGATCATGGAATTCTCTATTTCTGCACTTAGAAAGACAACTGTAAAGAACATATGTTTAAATGATGTAGTAAATTACTATAGATATTCAATAGAGAATAAATATCTTTTGCTAAATATTGGTTGCTCCCTGAACTAATTTCAAGGTTCACTTAATAAATTTAAGTTGCAATAAAAAGTAAATCTTTAAGAGAAACTATTATAAGAGAGTTGGATAATATACTGAATAGGAAAGATTTTTTATATAAATAAATAAATACTTACTCAATAGTCTAGAAATTTAGTATTTCAATTTCATAACTTGTAGTAAAGATTTGGTTGTACGGAACAAAACAATTTGTTATTTATGGCAACAAGTTTGTTTCTCATACATTACTTATTTGATGTTTTCTAAAGTATAAGATGGTTTCACACCTTTCTAAGTGCCTCTCAGCTGCAGGTTCATGGGAGTGCTAATAAATGCTATTTTTAATCTGCCACACCTGCTCTGTCATCAAAATAACCAAATATATTTTCTCTGTCCTTGAAACATGAATGTTTTACTTTTTAGCATGTAAAATCTGAAAGCCTATTGTTTACAAGTGCCAGGCTGTATCTTTGATGTGCATCAATATCTCTACATGTGCTTCTATACTCATACATTCTATTATACTTAAAATAGGTGATAAGTGGCAGTAAAGTCAACAGGATAAAGTACATGCTTAAAGACAAACAAATACTTCACGGATTTATTGGATGAGCGCCACATTGATTATTTTGATATTTCAGGGAAAAAAAACCAACATCCTTTTGGAAGAATTCAACTAAACTGCTTTCTAAACTAAAATAATTTCCTGTGAAGTGCTGCTAAATGCAGGTACTGCAATCAGAAATATAAGAAACATGAAGAAAGGAATGACTATTATTTTTTCCTATTGAAGTGGGTTAAAAAAAATCTTGAAACAATACAAATTTGTAGCAATCTGTATCACATCCTAAACAGCTGCAACAGCTGTATTATGTCTTTGCCTTTTTCTTTATGACCTGCTATACAAACATATGGCAAAGAAAACCTGTTTCATGTTTATTTTTCTAGACATTATTTTATACACAATTCTGTGATATTTTCAGATGTGTTTATTAATAACTTAATAAACAAAACTTTGCTCTCATAAGAGACACCAAATCATTTGACAGCAATTACAATATTGAAAAAAGATTGTCATCCACCTAAGTTATTTTTTTTTTAAAAGTAGCAGCATATACATAAGCTAAACCCCCCAAATTCAAGCCTAATAGCAGTGGGTTGAGACAAGAAGCATTTAGTGTTGGACTTTTCCATTTATTTGCAAGGCATTTACAAGAGCTAACACATTCCAAAACCAGCAGAATTTCAGTTCTCCTGAATTTCCCTAAAGAACCTATTTCCTTTTTTTTCTTTTCAGGAAAAGAAAACCAATTACAACAGACAAAAAAGCTCATCTTGCTTTTACTAGAAAGATATTAAAATTTAGCTTTTCATAATTTACATGTTAACAATTTCTCACTTGAAAATAAATCATAGTCACAGGGAAAAAAAGGTTCAACAAAAACTGTATAACCCAAACAAAAAATGCTACAGAAACAGAATTATGGATAATGCTCTCACAACTGTTCAAGATCTTCAGAGCCAACTTCAGAAACATAAACTGGATAAATCCCATATTTAGGATAGTCACATAACATTCTTTGAGTGATTAGGGCACATTAAGCACAAGATAAGCAACAAAAATAGCTGTAAGCATATCAATTTACAGCTGAGGGATGTTTCCCATACTATTTAGAGAAGAGGCAAAACATTAAGTTTCTCTTTTTTTGCTTTAAGTGTTAGATTTATTCCGTAATTGATAAGAAAATCTTTTTTTAAAAAAATCAGATGAAGATCCAGTGCTTTAACTTCCTGGCAGCACTTAGGTGAGCCTAAATAAAGATGTTGTACTTCAATTCCTTTGATTAGAGATGGATCACTGGCTTTGGAAAAACAGTTTGCAGATGGGATGCAGATGATTATCAGCTACAGCAACCCCTACTTTGAATTCATTCAAAAGTCAAGTTACAAGTCTGTAGTTTAGTGGAGATGAGAAAAAACACTAGTACAAATATTTTTTAAAACCCTAACTACTGCCATTCTGTTCTGAACTTCTGATGCCTATTCGATAGGAAAGTGGTACTGAAAATACGTATTTCATCTGTATGCAAAATTTGGTAATGACTTCTCTTTAAAAATCACTAGTAACACAATGTATTAGGTTACTGCACATCAAATACCTTAAACCAAGGGTTTCATTTGGGGTGTTTGTGAAGTTGTAAAAAATGTACAAGAAAAATTGGCAAAAAGCCATTCAAGCTTTTAAGAGTAAATATCCTTCAAAATAGAGCAAGCTATAAAATGTTTAATGGTTATAAAATCTGGTCATCTTCCACAGATAGGTGATGTTACCAACATTTGAAAGGAAGCAGTCTTGGAAATAATATTGAAAATATGACTAACAAGTTATACAATCGAAATAAAATCTGGAAATTCTTTCCAGAGCACAACACAGTGATGTTATAAATTGCCATGGAAAAACAAACAGAAAATCACAAAAACACTCCCAAATCTTTCTCTTTTTTCTTCCTTTTCTTTTTATCAAAATTTAAAGTGCACATATAAAGCTGAATGAAACAAAAAGTGAAATCCCATATTTAACACAGGCTTCTTTCTCAGTTATGCTTGAAAACAAAAGCAAGCATAGATTAATCAGCCGCACTACTATGAAATCATGCTAGATTTATTAGCTCAGCTAGATGTCTAAAAACCTTTAACAAAATAGAAAAGCATCAGAAGGTCTGTTTTTCCACATGTCAGATTGAATATTCCTGTGTTCTCAAATCCTGAAAAAATGGGGTGTTGAACAAGACTGTTAAAATATGTCCAGTATAATATTTTGATCACATACTTGCAATCAAAGGATTAATGAATTACCATATTTTCCTTGCTCCTGTTGCCACTTTTGGCTTCTGCAACTCTCAAATTAACTTTAGTCCTTTCAGTCAGGCAGCCTGAAATTTGCTCATTACTGGAACAGTAACTCTTCCTTTATATACATCCTTATAAATCTGTCTAAAGCACATCTGCACCTTTCAAACATATTAACTCCATTAGATTTCAACAATGTGTGTTTCAGCCTCAGTTTTCTGCCTTTCTTCACTGTACCTATCTTCTACTTTGGAATCGTGCCTAACAATGACCTATCGAATCTTTAGCAGCTCTTAAACAGGATTCTTTTTTAAATGTCACATTTTGCCAGATGGGTTAGTACTGCCCAGAGTGAATCATCACCATTTACTCTGATATTCACCGTCATCTGACATTTATTACACTCCCAGAATGCAAATTAAGGTACTCACCAATGGACCCAAAGCACAACCTTTTGCATTACATGCCTGGACTCTGAAGGAATGCAGACTCCAAGGAGCAAGTCCATAAGCATAACAACTTAGCTGTGATGAATTTTGCAGCAGAACACCATCCATATACAATCCATAGCTAGTAATAATACCTATAAAACAATGTGATAGCACTCAGTCTCTAAAGAGCCACAGAATTTAGAAGAAAACTAATGGTACAGACATCAGGGTGGTAGCAGTAATATTTCAAACAGTTTCCAGTTAAGCAGAAAACGTTTAGCATAACTGTGCATGCAAAACTCATTAGAAACATAGTTTCCCATCTTTAACTGTTGAAAACCTTCCAAGTGGATTGCATCTTTTAAGAACAATTACACAACCCCAAAGATTACCCCTTAACAAACTTGTTTCTGAATAGCAGCCAATATCACTTCAGAATCAGGAAAATGGAGGCAATTCTGTTTCACAGCCTACTCTGCATGTGGCTATTGAAACAAGAACTGGAAAGCCAGACAAAACCACCTCACATCTTAACAGCTGTAGACTTAGAAAAAAGTGCACAATATAATTGAAATGTGGAAGGACAACTCAGGCAATGCTATAACCACAATAAATCAGTCACAATTTTGTCACACAAAGTGTCTTGTTGAAACTCATTCTTGATGATAATTATCTCAGACTTTCTGAATTTTGCCCACAAACTGGATATTTCATTAATTTGGGGTAAGGTGGTTGTAAAATAATTTTGCCCACTTTTATAAATGAAACCACAAAATATTATGCACTGCTGTTTCCTTCTCAATATGCTGTAGAAAAAAAATACTGAAGTAAACTATCCTTTACCTATTCAGTCTAAAGAAAGAAAACATCTTTGCAAATTCAAAACGAACCTTAGCTTTTAGACAGAGGAAACAATAGTCCTTCTTGTAAAACTGGCTAATACTAACTCAAGAATTTCAGATGATTGCTTTTCTCATTTATAAGGAATTCTAAAACTCTATTCTTCCACAGGTGCATGATAGGACAGCATGAATCCTGCACAGAATATACATAGAGTGTTTTGAATTTATTGAACTGAATTTTACAGATTTACTTAGACTTTGGAAGTTGAAGTTGCAAAGTCCTTTTTCTCAGGGCTATTTCTCCATCTTTCTAACTTCTGAATAGTATTGCTTTTTAAAAGATATTTAAATATGAAACCTTGTGGTGTATAAATGCAAAGCTATAGGATTCATTTGAAGTGAGTTTTGTCCAGAGAAGTCTTCTAATCTTTCCATTACAGATAACAACTTTGTATCGTAAAAATATAGTTTCTTTTCCTTAAAACTGATTTTTTTTTGAAACTACATTGAGGAAGATTTGATTTGAAATTTAGAAAAGATTTTCCGCTTTACTAAATGGAGAACTGCTTTGTAAATAAAAGTGTATATACAACTGTTTCAGCTGAGCTTTGAAGAGTCCTACTTCAAATGATTTATATGCTAAAGTAAAGCAGAGCTGAATATGGTGAAGTGATTCACAGACTCTTAATTCTTTTCTCTTCTAGAAAAGTGAGAGGCTAAACTCAGCTCAGCAGAGACGTGTGTGCAGGAGGAAGTCCTGGTAAATCTCACACTATCAATCCTACCATATTTGACAGGTTGCTTCAAGCAAAAATCCCTTGTAGTTCTGTGTCTAGTTGCTTGTAAAGCAAAAGCATTATATTGCTATTTGCTCTACATTAAATAAACAAATGACATATATATACTAATAAAATTTTATTCATCTCAGAGAAAAATTATGAATCCTGGCAGTAAGGATATTTTACAGGGGAGAAACTCCAAACATTGAGGCACTTTAAGTAAATTTACCAGTAGCACTAACCCCTTTAAAGTATCATAGAAACATAGAACAGGATCATAGAATTTCCTGAAGCAAAAGGGACCCATCAAAGTCCAGTTTCTGGTCCTACTCAGGACAATCTCAAAAATCACTCCATGTGCCTGATAGCATCATCCAAATGCTTCATGAACTCTGTCAGGCTTGGTGCCATGACCATTTCCTGGGGAATCTGTTCCAGTGCCCAACCACACACTGGGTGAAGAATGTTTTCCTAATTTCCAACCTAAACCTCCCCTGACACAGCTTCATGCCATTCCCTCGGGTCTTGTTGCTGGTCATGAGAGAGTATAGATCAACATTTGATAAATCATTATTAATTCTTTTAATACTTATGGTAACAGCATGAATCATAATGAGATCATTTGACATTAATGTAGGTGTCATATGTACCTCTATGGGACCTCTGCTGTAACTCAGGATTGATTAACTGGACCATTGTTTAAAACTGCTCCTAAAGCCACAGCACTGTGCAGCATCTACACTCTGAGAAACTGCCTGCTGGTCAACACTGTGAGCTTTTGTTAGTTCTCTTACTACTGCAAGCATCTCTAATAAGCTGATCCATTTTCTCTTGATTTTACTTCTGCCTTTGACTTGTAGGACACTGATGGAGAAAACTAGAGAATAAAAAGAAAGGAAAAAGTACATTTCAGAACAAAAGGGCTAGTAGTCGAATTTCGAGATGTGAAGCCATTTTTCTAAATTTGGCAATAATTATTTTTGGCCAGGGACAAATAACTTCACCTCTTTATTTCACCAGTATATGTTTCCAAAGCATACTGAGAAAAAGTTGGCCCAAAGTCAATGAACTTCTCAAGACTTGTTGGCTATTCCTGAAGTTTACCATGCATGAAATATTGAAGAATATAGGACATTCTTGCAAATTACAAGGCTTTTTGAGCAACATATGGTCACCATGAAAAGATGCAGTCTTTTCATAATTATTAAGTCTAGGCAGCTAGATCAAATCTTGGTTTCACTGAAGACAAAATCTCTATTGACTGTAGTACGATCATGTTTCATTTCTGAAGAGAAATTTAAGAATGCAAATTAAACTGAATAAAGCTACACAGTCTTCTCTTTTCTTCATCCTCTCCCCTCACTGGGTAAGGCCATATAATCTGTAAATGATATTCCAGACACTAAAGATGAAAAGAGGTTTTGAATCTAAAGTACTACAAGCACTTTACTCTTAAGGTACAATCTAGAGGTCAAATCTTAAGCAAACATACTTTTACCTACATCAATTTCACTGACTACAAACACCAGTCATCTCTCACAAGCACAAGGATTTGCAGGAAGACGTACTGGCTTAGTTCAGTGAATAATTCTATAAATCAGTTTTTACTATACCTAATACTTCCCATACAAATTCCACATAGCCTTGGAAGATACAGTCCAGATCAAGACTTGTTTTTACCTATGAACTGTACATAAGCAAAGTGAATTTTTTGAGAATTGACCATCTAAGGAAAACTTCCTATGGTGAAAAGAAATAAGGTCACTTCCTCTTGTGGAAGGATTTTAAAACAGCAGACCTCAAACTATATGGCAAGACTATAATGGATGTGCTCTGAAGAATAGATGATTCTTTATTGAGGCCAGTAGAATAGTGAAGTTTCAAAGCAAAATATCTGATGCCACATGTCATTTCACAAGTCTCTGCATACCTTGCCCTCAACTAAACAGTCAATATTGCTTATACTATCTACAATCCACCTTCACATGTGACATGCATATGAAGAGTGGCATAACTCTGGGCCATGTCCCATCAACCTTTTTATTGTTGCTTTGAAAATAATACAAAATAAAATGTCCACATTTCAAATATATTCAGCACATCATCGTCCAAATGTCTTTTCCCTAACCTACACTTTGCAGATAAATGATATTTCTGAAGCAACTTTCAACAAAGAATTAGGTGTATCATTTCCCATTTTCTTTGAAATCACTTTTTTCCCCACAAATAAATGCAATTTGGCCTTAAATTCAACCAGAAATGGAGTCCAGAAATTAAACATCCATGTTTGGATAAAATTAGCCTAAGATGGTCCCTTATCTCAAAGCTTGACTCTTCTCATTGTGTCATTTAGACTTTAATCCTGTTTGCCACCTTCCGCTTTAAGGGTAGCATATTAATTCTCCTTAATGTTTTTCTAATTTGTGGCAAGCAGCTGGACTCCATATATGCCATGAGAGCATAGTAAAGTCTCTGCTGCCCAATCCCCAGTCAGCCTACACAACTATTCAAAGCTGATAAGCTTTCTCAGCCCATGGAAGTAAACAGTAATTTCTGCCAAACAGTGTCAGAAGAAAGGAGCTGGGAGAGGAAGGAACTGCCCCAGAGATCTGCTAAGGAGATAACAATCTATGATATCCAAATCTTTGCAATTCTGACGTTTCCACCTGAAACAAAACCAAGTACGGTAATTTTAAAAAGCACATTTAGTAGGCTGAAATGCACCAAGTTTCAATGAATAAGTTAAAACGAAGAAACAGTCTATCCCTTTGGAAAAATCAATAAAGAAACAAAACAAAAGTAAAAGAGTTACATTAGAACTTCTGACTATGAGAATGCACCAGTAGAATGTTGAAGTTACAAAATTTAAGGAAACGTGCCTTCTGCTGGTCTTTCTCATATTTCAGTCTTCTCAAATATGATATTTTTTCAGCCTCTTACATGGTTTTAAAACACTGACAGAGAGAGAGATTATAAATGGTGTGGTCACTAAGCAGGCCAAAAGATGTGCTGAGAATGACCAAAACAAAGTCTCTGAATGATGCAAGCTTTCCTGATTAAGCACTTAGTGAAATCTTTTAGAGCTCATTCATTGTTGGGGCCTTTTAAAAATTCTTTTTATGAAATGAGGAAAAGGATGGAAAGAAGAAATTGGAGAATGGGAAAATGCATCATTAGATATATCATAGTATTATTTATGTTGGAAAGGACTATTAAAACCATCGAGTCCAACGGTTAAGCCAGCACTGCCAAGTCGACCACTAAACCATGTCTCAAAGTGCTGCATATTTTAAATACCTTCAGGGATCGTGACTCCACCACTTCCCTGGGCAGACTGTTCCAATGCTTGACAACCCTTTCCATGAAAAAAATGTTCCTAATATCCAATCTAAACCTCCGTGGCACCACTTGAGGCTATTCCCTCTTACTCTGTTACTTGGGAGAAGAGACCAACGCCACCTCGCTACAACCTCCTCTCAGGTAGTTGTAGAGAGAAATAACATCTTCCCCCCGAGCCTCCTTTTCTCCAGGTTAACCACCCCCAGCTCCCTCAGCTCCTCCTCATAAGACTTGTGCTTCAGCCCCTTCACCAGCTTCGTTGCCCTTCTCTGGACATGCTTCAGGACCTCGATGTGTTTCTTGTAGTAAGAAGCCTAGAACTAGACACAGTACTCAAGGTGCAGCCTTGCCAGTGCTGAGCACAGAATGATGATCCATTCCCTAATCCTGTTGGCCACGCTATTTTTGATGCAGGCCAGGATGCCATTGGCCTTCTTGGCTACCTGGTCACACTGCTGGCTCATGTCCAGCTGTTGACCAGCACCTTTTCCACTGGGCAGCTTTCAGGCCACTCTGCCCCAAGCCTGTAGCACTGCATGGCATTGTTGTGACTCAGATGCAGGACCTGGCACTTGGCCTTGTTGAACCTCATACCACTGGCCTCAGTCCATCAATCAAGCCTGTCCAGATCCCTCTGCAGAGCCTTCCTGCCCTTCAGCAGACAAGCACTTCCCCCCGCGCCTCCTTTTCTCCCGGTTAACCCCCCCCAGCTCCCTCCGCTCCTCCTCATAAGACTTGTGCTTCAGCCCCTTCACCAGCTTCATTGCCCTTCTCTGGACATGCTTCAGGACCTCGATGTGTTTCTTGTAGTAAGAAGCCTAGAACTAGACACAGTACTCAAGGTGCAGCCTTGCCAGTGCTGAGCACAGAATGATGATCCATTCCCTAATCCTGTTGGCCACGCTATTTTTGATGCAGGCCAGGATGCCATTGGCCTTCTTGGCTACCTGGTCACACTGCTGGCTCATGTCCAGCTGTTGACCAGCACCTTTTCCACTGGGCAGCTTTCAGAAGAAGCCTAGAACTAGACACAGTACTCAAGGTGCAGCCTTGCCAGTGCTGAGCACAGAATGATGATCCATTCCCTAATCCTGTTGGCCACGCTATTTTTGATGCAGGCCAGGATGCCATTGGCCTTCTTGGCTACCTGGTCACACTGCTGGCTCATGTCCAGCTGTTGACCAGCACCTTTTCCACTGGGCAGCTTTCAGGCCACTCTGCCCCAAGCCTGTAGCACTGCATGGCATTGTCTCAGATGCAATGCAGGACCTGGCACTTGGGCTTGTTGACACTCCTACCACTGCT